TGGTTTTCCGTTGTCGGTTAGGATATACCGAGGGATGCCAAAACGATAGATAATGTGAACTCGGATGAAATCTGCAACATTTTCCTTCTTCACTTCATTTAAAGCCACTGCTTCAGCCCACTTTGAGAAATAATCGGTGGCTGCTAATATATACGAATGCCCTGCTGATGACTTGGGTGTAATAGGACCAACCACATCGAGCCCCCATGCATCAAATGGCCACGATGCTACCGTCGGATGTAGCGGTTCGGGAGGTTGATGGATAAAGTTCGCATGAAATTGACATGCTTGACATCTCCGTGCATAGTCTATGCAATCCTTCACCATCGTAGGCCAGTAGTAACCCATTCTTTTGATGTGAAAATGTAACTTAGGACCAGACTGATGAGCACCGCACACTCCAGAGTGAGCCTCCTCCATCGCTTGTAAAGCTTCCTCTTCGCCTAAACATCGAAGAAACACACCATCAAACGAGCGCCGGTATAGAGCATCCTTGAAATATATGAAGCGAGGAGCTCGACGTCTTACATCTACCCTCTTACGAGGGTCTTGAGGTAACTTCCCATCAACAAGGTAGTCAATCAATGATTGCCTCCAATCCTCTTTATCTACCTCATAGACAGAAGCAGTCGGGAGTTCAACAATGTCGTCAAGAGAGCCATCGTCCTCGAAGATTGGAGGGACCACCCATTTTTGGCATACTCGTAGCCGAGCCTCATCTATAGGATGTGATATAGTTGAAGCCAAAGCAGCTAAGGCATCGGCTTGCTTATTATGTTTCCTTGGAATATGCTCCATCGTAGCATCTCCTAGCCAATGCAGGAGTGTCTTTGCATAACTGTTGTATGGGATCAACTCAGGCTTTTTTACTTTGTAAACCCCAAGAACTTGGTTGATAATTAGTTTGGAGTCCCCGTATATGTTAACCCTTAGTTGCTTCATATCGGCTGCAATTTCAAGTCCCAAAATGAGTGCCTGATACTCGGCAACATTGTTCGAGCAGCGTTTCGTCAAGGTAAATGAATAAGGAAGCACTTCCCCTTCAGGCGTAACAAAGACAACTCCAGCACCTGCCCCCTCTTTGTGTGCCGCTCTATCAAAGTACATCTTCCATGGAGGTAAAACTTCAACCACAAGCACATCCTCATCAGGTAGGTCACTGGACAGCTCCCATTCGGCAGGAATTGGATGATCAGCTAGGAAATCTGCTAAGGCTTGCCCCTTGATGGACTTCTGTGGTACATAACTGATCTCAAAACTGTTGAAATAATAAGTACCACCTAGCAAGTCGATCGGAAAGAACAACCTTTGACATGACATACTTCACTGGGTTTGCCCTGGAAACTAGTCGAATTGTATGCGCTTCGAAATAATGCTTGAGCTTCCTGATGGCGAATACAAGGGCCAGACACAACTTCTCAATTGGCAGATATTTGAGCTCATTTGGCGTCATCATTCTACTTAAATAATAAAGGGCATTTTCTTTCCGGTTATCATTCTCTTGTGCAAGTAAAGCACCCACCGAGCTTTCTTGGGCGGAGATGTAAAGGATCAGCGAGCGTCCTGGAATTGGAGCAGTTAGCACAGGCGACTTCATTAAATAGGACTTGATGCTTTGAAATGCATTCTTGCAGGCCTCATCCCATACAAACGGGACACCCTTCTTCATTAACCGGCTAAAGGGCTGACATCTTCCTGCTAGGTTTGATATGAATCTTCTTATATAAGCCAACTTCCCTTGCAAGCTTTTAAGCTCATGAAGGTTCTTTGGCTCAGGCATCTTCATTATAGCGTCGATCTTTGCTTGTTCGATCTCAATGCCCCTATGTCGAACAGTAAACCCAAGGAATTTGCCAGCAGCAACCCCAAAGCACATTTCAGGGGGTTCATTTTGAGTTGAAACTTCCGCAAGCGGTCAAATACTTGTCTTAGATGCATCATGTGATCTGTGCGGAGTTTCGACTTCACAACCAGGTCGTCTACGTAACATTCCACCATTTTATGCAGCATGTCGTCAAATATAGTCTGCATGGCCCTTTGGTATGTAGCACCTGCATTTTTCAAACCAAAGGGCATCACTTTGTAGCAGTAGATACCTTTTGGCGTACGAAACGCAGTAAACTCCTCATCTTCTGGCGCCATGCGGATTTGATTGTAACCGGATGAGCCATCCATGAATGACATGATCTCGTGTCCAGTTACAGCATCTATCATTAACTCTGTGATAGGGAGCAGGAAGTCATCTTTCGGGCATGCAACATTAAGATCTCGAAAGTCTACGCACACGCGGATCTGGCCATTCTTCTTGCGCACAGGCACAATGCTGGATATCCAAGTTGGGTATTTAACTTCGCGAATGAAACCAGCCTCTATAAGCTGTTGACTTCTGCTTCGATTGAGGAATGAGCTCGGGGCGGAAGCGCCGTTGAGCTTGCTTAATCGGCGACACCCCTTTTTATTGCCAAGCGGTGCACGGCTACCTTTGGGTCCAACCCTGGCATCTCCTTATATGTCCATGCAAATACATCGATATATTCTTTCAAAAGTGTGACATATATTTCTTCATCTTCGTTGGAAAGGAGTGAACTAATGAAGATAGGTCGAGGACTTTCAGGAGTTCCTAGATCCACCTCTTTTAGTTCGTCCACTGCGGCTTGTACCCCCTTCTTCTAGCTCTTGAGTGCATCCTCTGCATCCTCTGCATCTTCACCCTCGGTTGGAATCTCATCGTATAATGTTATATGAAATGACGATGCCATCTCATCTTGACTTGGTGTTGCCTCACAACTTGAATCAATATTCTTGACTTCTTTCTTGCACTTGGGTGTGTACAATGGTTCTTGGTTGGACCTTCAAAACTTCACCACACGAGACATGGATATTAACTTCCCTTCTCATGCGAGATGGAACGGCACTCCTGAGCCTTTTTGAGGGTTCCATTTCAGTAGGAGGGT